AAAGGAGTGAGTGTAGTGCCGTTGAAAAGCGCGGCAGATGCTGTTTTACCCGCAAATGAAGTAATGTTGAGCTGACCCATGAGAAGGAGATCCTGGTTGCGGTCGATGATATCGGAGTCGCCATGGTCTTCGGACAGAGAGAGGACCTGAATTCCACGAATTTCGGTCGAGCTACCGAACATAGCCCCATCAGCAGGCACCCACTTGGTACCGTCAAATCGCTGCAGAAACGCAGTGCCATCGCTTGCTGTGCCAGCGGCCCAGAATTGGTCTCCGTTACGGTTGGCAATGGTTAGAGCAGTGACCGGACCAGGGAGGTCGTTAGCACCGGGGACGACTGCGAATTGTCTGCTTGATGAGTCGTAGGTCAGAATCTTGGTCTGGTTGGTGCCAGAAGTGAGGTTGCCCGCAATCAGTAGACTGTTGTCGCTAACCCATGTGAGCGACGAGACGTCACCGGAAAGGCCATTGCCTGGTGCAGTCCACTGACTACGCTCGGTATTCCAGATGCACACCGCAGCACAGCTCAAGGCGCCAGCGGACTGGAACTGACCTGCGACGAAGATGTCCTTGGACTTCGGTCGTGGAGCGATGGCGTTAACTGTAACGTTCACACCCTGTAGCGGTGGGGGCTGAGCCTTCGTGAACGAATTGCTGTTTAGGTCGTAGGCGACAACACCAGCAACACGATTGTTGTTCAGCTGTCCGCTGATCATGCCACCGGCATACAAGACATTGTCCAAGACAGCGACAGCCGCAAAGGTGGAGTTGGCATCCAGCTCGTCGTCAAAGCCGGTCACTTTGTCAGAGTCGTTACCATCAATGATGAGGAGGTTGGTGATGTTGCGATCCTCTGCGCCCTTGGTTGCGAAGTGTCCAGCGAGGATCGTCTTGTTCATGCCATTTTCCTTGTAGAAAGTACCAGTACGGACTCCAGTGGTGTTGAGGTTTTGTCCTTGAACGATGGCTCGCTTACGAGAAGGGGTCTGCTGCTGCTGTTGCGCTTGGATCTTGATGGGGAAAGCACTGAGTGACAGTTCATCTCCACTTTCGAGCTCAGCAGTACCGCTCGCGAGAAGAGCACCAGATGATACAGATCCGCCATACCAGCGTTCACCTCCGGGCACATCAGCGAAAGTCATCAGTCTGCCGGACATGGCTAGAGAGTAGAAGTCCAGGTTGTGCAGCCAGTTGCCACGAGATGGCACCCAGACTGCAAAGTCATTAACGCTGGTGCTGGGGTTGTTACCAAAGGCATTGACCCGGCTGAAGAATCCGCTGACAGCGAGCACGTCTTCGGGAGTATTAGCCGTGATGTTGAGCGAGAACGGTACCAAGTATAGCACAACACCATCTACACCGGCACCAAGGGGTTGCCACTGGTTGTTGTTCAAGGTAGCCACTCCGCCAAGGCCTGCTACGTTGTTCTCCGCCGTGTTGGTGAAGTTACCACCGACGTACAGCGTACTAGCGTTGTGGAACATAGTCATGACCTGGTTGTTGAGTCCTTTGCCGGGAAGTGCACTGGGTTTGTCCTCTCCCTGTCGAACTTCGAAGATGTTGTTGCGGTCGTCGCTGCTGTTGAAGGATCCGCCGACATACAGTGTCTTGTCACCTGTTGTGACAGTGGTAACGAAAGCCTTCTCCCTAGGAATGAGGCTAGCTCCGGCGGCAGTGATGACGGACTTGGTAAAGTCGTCCGCGTCTACGGTCTGACCAGGCTTGTACTCGAAGAGACCGTTCAAGTTACCTGACGTAGCCTTCAGAAGCGTGAAGCGCACCCTCTGTGCAACGACAGTCAAGGGGCCAGGGCCTTGTCCGCTTGCGGGTCGAAGGATGACTTGTGGACGGGAGCCATCGGTGACATCGATGAAGCCGTTGTAAACCTCGTCGTACTTGTCAAAGTTGTTGGTCTGCCAAAGCTCAACGCTGTTGGGCTCGCCGCCCAATTGTGCTGTGACGTTGACCCGACCGCGGGTGCCGCAAGTACCATCGCCCTGGCATCCAGGCGTGTAAATGGTGACAGAGTAGTTGCCAGACTGTTTGATGTCGGGCAGGAAGGTGACGCTGGTCGACTCAGTGTCGATGGGTGTGCCCTGCAGAGATGTGGTGAGATACCTGGAGGAGCTGTCGTGTGACGGAGAGACCTGCCAAGAGCCGGTAGAGGTTGCTTCTGACCCTGACGTGGTTGAACCACAGTTCTTGGGCTCGTTGAAGTCGTTGACTGCATAGGAGTACATGGCGTCCTGGAACAGCTGGATACCGTTAAGACCACCACCCTGACCGTACCATTCCGAGACGTCGATCCTGAAAGCGTTCATACCAACGACGTTGACGAAGGAGAAGTCCTGCGCAGTGGTGTTGCCCTCGGGCAGGGGGCATGTGGCGTCGCAAAAGCGCTTTTGTCCGGTTCCGGGGTCAGTGAAGGTCAGGTTCAAGATACCGCCGTCTGGAAGTGCAGTGAAGCGGAAAGTCTTGCTACCACGGCCCTCGAAGTCCGTGTTGTAGAGCTTCATGCTTGTTGGCTCGAAACCGAAGCCAAAGTCGGCCTTCCAGAATCCGGGCGATCGATCGGCGAGCAGCCATGTCGAGCCGGCGCCTTGCGTGGAAAAGTCGGCTTTGCATGCGATGTTCTTGGGGTCTGAGAGGCCGTTCTGGCCGGAGCTTGTCTGGGCGGTTATGTCTGCGGTAGCGATGGGGATGACCTGCGTGTTGTTTTCGCTCGACACAATCGACGCATTGCCTCCTCCGAGACCGTTGAACTCTCCTCCAAAAATGATGTTGTCGTTGGACCGGATGATGGAGTGGATGGGGCCATTGAAGCCATTGAACGATAGGTCTTCCCAGCCGTTCTTCCATACTAGAGCGTTGGACGAGTTCGCACCTTCTAGACTTCCTCCCACGTAGACCTGACCGCCATCTCTATCACAGTAGAGCGCGTTGACCGATCCAGTAAGTCCTTCGAGTGGAGTGACATTGCCGTTGTTGGGGTCGAGCAGCGCGATGCCTCCAGGTGTGCGAAGATCGCCAACACTAGTAAAGTTGCCTGCGAACACGACTCGTTCCGCGCCATTGACCTGGAGCGCGCACATGGCCTTAATATCGGCATCTGTGGTGTTGATCGTCGCAAAGACGCCGTTGGGGTAGCGTGCAAGGAGGGCTCCTCCAGTAGCGGGAGTATTTTGATTTTGGCCTTCATACTGGTAAAGCGATATCGAATCGAAATCTCCAGCGAAGGCTATCCGGCCTAAATCGTCGAGGTTGAGGTTGGGGTTTGGGACGGGTTTGAAATTATAGGCCGTGGCTTGCGAAGCCACGAGCAGCGAAAGGGTGAGCTTGCCGGCCGCCGTGCGCAGAAGGGCAGCGAATGACTCCTTCATGGCAGCGGTGGGTAGCGAGGTCGATGGGAAGAATAGTGTTAGGGGTGCGAGTGTCGGAGGCGACTGTTATGAAGAAGGGATGGCCACGTTAGGCATGGGAGCGGGTGTCGGTGGGCGGGGAGGCAGGTGCGGTTTGCTCAGGGTCGTCGCGATCGCTGGATCCGGTAGGCTGGTTCCAGTGAAGCTGTCAATTAGCCTCGCAAGGGCGCGCAATGGTCTCCGGAATCGATTATGGACGGCAGGAACGAGGAGGGCGAGAGTCGGTCGCTCTTGCGATGCAGGCGTTCGCGGATGAGGAAGTGCCGGAGGAGCGTTGCTTGGCGCACGGTGAATGTGACGGTGATGGTACGGGGGGGTGTATTAGGTGCAGGTTGCTGCTGTGGTGCTGTCTTTGCTGGTTGGTTTCCTGAAACGAATGACTGAGGTGAGGGTTGCGCGTGCTTGAAGGTGTCTGGGAGCCGGCTTCCCGTGTGGCACTGCTTTTTGGGAGAGTTGTCAGAAGAGCCGTCAATCGCGTCGAAGGGAAGGGGCGCCCGGGGCTGGAGCTTGTGCGCTGATGAGAGGCCGCCAAGTGCTGGCGTGATTGGCAGCCCGTGTGCGCTAGTGGGTCCTAAGATTGAGCCTGCAGTAGCGTGCATGTGCGAACCGCGACGATTGAATATCGATTCGGTGCGACAAACACGTTCAAATTCAAGCTTGCAGGGTGTTCGCCGTCGCATTCACGAGAGTGTCCTGGACGACCGTGGCTGTTGTTGGGAGCCAAAGCAAAGAAACGCGTCACTCGCTGCGCCGTCGTCATCTGACCTGCCCCTTTATCCCAGCAGATGCACCGCACAACGCCCGCTATATAGCCGCTGCAGGGCGGTGCAACTAACAACTTGACGACGCACTCTCCCGTCATCGTGGCTGGGGTAGCACCATGTTCCTGCCCGCTACCCAATTCCTTAATCACCTTTGTGCGATCATGGTCGCGCATGTCTTTCACTGTTCTCAACAACAGCTTTGTTCACTAATATTCCTCTTCGGCGCCGTTTCTTCTTTACATCCGAGACTGCTAGGCGTTTGGCATTGATGCCTGAGGTGGCCAGACCTCGACCTCCAACAGCGTGAATGCAACGGCATTTGAAATTCCTGCTGCGTCACATCTTACTACCATCATGTTATAATCTGGCACTTGACTCGCCACTTGCGTCAAACTCAGTTGATAAGATAGGTTGACGGCATGATCGCGATAAGTTGTTCTGGTGATGACGCACGTCTGCCATCCAGACCCTTGCCCGGATCGCTGCCCAGGTGTCAACGGTCACGACGCACGACGGCGTGTTTCACGACTCATCCCGGCCGCTCCTGAGACCCAACCGTTGATGCTTAACCCGGTCGAGCGAAGTCTCACCCGCCTGTGCACCAAAAATACATTCGAGGCCTTCTTCAACTTCGATCGTGAGGCGAGTTTACATATGAGGCGCGTCTGTACAACAGACAACATCAATTTCGTTGCTAGGCACACTCAAGATGATTGTAACAAGAGATTAACACTATGCATCTGGTCGACCAAATAAGCTCCAACGCCGCGCTGATGCTTCGAAAAAAACCAGAATCTTCATATCCGCACCTGGCCTCTTACATCACAGGCTGTTCTTTCTCAACGTCCCCAACCTTGTCCTTGTCCACGAAACCCCTCTCCGTGTCCATGGCACCATTCAAATCGTAAGCCTTGATGAACCAACTGCCGAGCAAGGCCACTGCACTTAACACCAACATGACGATCCAGATGTACTTGAGAGCGTCTGTGTAACTTTCCCTGAGTTGCTCTCTCATTTCCCCCGCCGGCATCTCCTTGATGATTTCGACCAGTTCAGCTGCATTGTGAGAGTACTCGGCTGCCAGGTCAGCAAGTAGAGGGAACATACGCATTTTCTTTCTCATCTGGTTCTGAAAGATGACGCCACCGATGGCAACACCGAGTGTCTGGCCAGAAGCCCGGAAGAAGGAGAACATGTTGGCGGCATAGGCCTGGTCTTTGGCGGTCGCTGAAGCCTGTACGGCCAGAGCCATGGCAGTGCATAGAATGCCCGTTCCAACGCCGCCAACCAGATTGAGAAAGATCCAAGATACTGTGGACGTATCCGGCTTGAGAACTATAAGGAGGCCCATGCCGAGTGTGGTGAGGAACCATCCGGCACGGTTTGCCCATAGATATTTCCCCGTTACTGCGATTGCGATACCTGTTGCAACTGAAGCTGGCGCTACAGTGAATGTCCATGAAAACATGGCAACTCCGGCAAGGATCGGACCGAAACCTTTGACAGCTTCGAAGTAGAGTGGCATGCAGTAAAGAATAGCCCACATTATGATCCCATAAATGACCGTAGAGACGGAAAGAATGGCAGCCGACATGTTCTTGAATACCGAGGTTCTGATGAGGGGGTTGGCAGCGAAGAACTCAATATACGCAACGAAGGCGATCATACCCATGGCGCCTACAATTAGTACCTAGGTGACGGTGAGTTGACGCTCATGTCTCACTTTCACCTTCACTTTGGAATTTCATCTCGCCCGTTTGCGGTGACATCATGTTATTTCCTCAGTCACCTAGTCTTTTGTCGCACCCAAGAAGATACTTTGTCTCGTCTGTCGCAGCTTCTTACTTTCCTCGTATCCTATACTCACTTTTCTCAACACCATACACCCTCTGCCACCTACAATGGCATCGCCGAAGCTACAAGATAGCGGAACCGTGAGCTTGCCGCCTACGATGGCGCCACCAAAGCTGCAGGAGAACGGGATTCTGAGCCTGGAGGATACGCCCGCTGATATCGTCGAGATGTAAGTACATGATTGCAACATATTATGACTACAATTCTAACATTGACATAGCATTGAGAGGAACGCTGCGGAATCTCCGCTCTTGAATCTCCCAGCAGAGCTGCGCAATCGCATTGCGGAGATGGTCTGCGGGACCACTTCTGACTGCGTGTGGTTCCTCGGCCACGGCCAACACATCGTCACCTCTTCCAAAATAAGGGAAGTGACTTCCTCGAACCCTTTGAAAGCCGTGTGCAAGACCCTCCGGGCAGAGACAATTTGGCTGGAGATGAGGGTGAACAGAGTGAAGGTCGAAGCTTCAATTTTTGTTCGAATGCACCAAAAAAAAGACCTCCGTCTGAGGCAAATCAAGAGCAGCATCGAGATTGCAGTCAAATGGCAAGATAACTTCGCGCCCGAAATGAAGCGACGTCGCGCGATCTTCGAATACGCCAAAGAAAACCCCGACATCAAGATTGGGGTGCGTATCAGCAATTGGAAGTTCGTTTCGGCGATTATGCCGCTCCAGTATTTTGTCTGCGTTGGTTGGGCAATTGAGAAGTCCCTTCGGGGCAAAAAGTGGAAGTTCACCGGCTGCCAGAAGGCCTTGGTATGCTGGACAGACGGAAAGGCAAATGAAGAGCTTGATTTGCCAAATCTCAAGTTTTTCCCTCTGGTGGGTAAATTTGACGAAGACATGTTCCGTCAAATGGTGACCAAGGGTGAGGAGGCTGCATTCGCCCGGAAGCTCATAAAGCTGTATGGGAGTGAAGATGAGGCGGTGGCGGCGGTGAAGGTCTGGTTTGTTGAGGGTGTGTAGACTTTGTGAACTCCCTGGAGCCTACGTAGACGTTAGGACACTGGGTACCTACTTTGGATGTTTTGACCCCTCGGGACAACATTGCAGTGTAACATCTTTCGACCGGACATCTTACTTCAGCCTCAAGCCATCGCACTAACCACATTGCTCCATCACCTTACAATACCGCCACGCCAACCTAGGGAAAAGCTGAACAGCCTGGAGCCTACTTTGACTTTGGGTCGCCTCCTTTGCAAGGTTTTGGATCAATGTAGTCTGCAGACCTGTTCAGTTTTTCCCTGGTATGAGGTGCCGCGAAAACGTGGTCGGTGCAGAGCAAGACTTTGGCTTACGGTGGCACTCAAAGGCGCGGCCGAAATCAGGAAATCGCTGTTGGAACCAATCAGACTAGACAGCAAACCTTTCAGATCGGGCACAAGACGCGATATGGCGTTTTGGAGCAAGTATGTTTAGCGTGCATGCGATGCTGATGGGCTGCCACATCCAACGCTGCCCAGGTGTGCGGGGAGTTGTTCATCCGGCTCTAGGCCAATCTGAACTGGGGCGTTTTCGAGTCTCTCCGACGAGAGCAATGACGATGTGGTTGCCTGAAAAATAAGTCTCATATTATCAATCACGGCGATATGAGTGTGGAGATTGTACATGATGTAGAGTATGATTGTCGATTGAGATGTCGTGCAGCTTACAGTTGCTGATCAGATGGCCGCGCCTCAGGGCCGGAGGTGGTTGAGCGCTAGTCTCGAATCCGGCGAAGAGGCTTGGCGTTGCTGGAATACGCGAATTGACATGATGCATGCGTCCCACCCTCTTCAATCGACAGACTGCTTTCATGCAACATCACCCATCATGCCATTCATCGATTCGGACTGGTGCTTGCACAACACATTGTCCTCTTTGGGAGCTAGCGCTTAGCTGTGACTGCCTGTCCTCCAGGTGCCGACATGTGGAATCGCGAACTTGGGCAACCCGGCCTCCAGATGCCTAAGCACCTCACTGAGAAGAAACAAAGTGGATGTTCGCAATGAGCTGCTCTACTAGCAGCTGTGTACAGATCTTGCTTGGGCCAATGCGGGGCCGCATTCATTCCGTAGGCTCCAAAATAGAAAAGTTATTGACTTTTGTTTTGCGATAGGGCACCCCTAAGCGATCCGTTCCTGTTGATCGCCACGTGCAGCTCTTGATGGCGCTCTTCTTTGTTTGTAAACTTCTGGAAGCACTTCGGAGTGCGCAAGTAAGGAGTGTGTTCCAACAACTTGTACCTGCTCGCGACGGTCCAGGACGAAGGAGCGCATCTACCTAGGTATCCTTGAAGCATCATACCTTGAGGTCATCACCGCCCGAGAACATGGACCGAACCGTGGGGTCCTTCAAGTCCTTCATTCGAACCGTACCGCCAAATCCGAGCACCTTGAGCGACGTCTCGCCATTGACTCCAGGTAGTCAGACACTTTACCCTCTAATCATGCCATCACCGCCGAAGCAAATGGACACCGATGTTAACTTCACTCCATGGATAGCGCCCACCGAATGGGATTCCATTCCACCTGCTCAGCCGGTTCCGGTCTCTGCGACCCGCGAATGCTCCCCACTAATACCAGAGCCGTCTCCCAGTATTGGCAGCATACGCACAGAGTCTTGGTCCTGGTCGGCGGAGACAAGCGACTTTAAGCCTGCACCATTGCGACCTGTACGTCAATATTCGGACCCTGCATCTAACCAACCAACACGCAAACTGTCGAGATCTTCGTCGCATGGAAAGGCCCTAGACACTCTCATCTCTCCCACCTTTTCAGAACCATCCGCAGATGTCATATACCAAACATCAAACGATTCACGTAGAGCGAAAGCATACGTATCGTTGGGCATAATGTGGCCGAGAGAGACAAAGACTGGATGCGAATACTGGTCTGCCACTCCGGATGAAGACAGCACTACGCGAATATCTCCAGCATTACGAGGGAAGAAATTACCACCATTGTACCGTACGAGCCCGTTGTTGGATGACGAATGCGAAGATGAGGAGCTGAGCGATAAGTTGCTACTTCTAGGCTTCTCGCAGGACTATCATGGTGTACTGGCGGACCAATACTATGAATGCAGAGCTCTTCGACCTCGAAGCAGCGTTCGGAATGTCACCTCAACAGGGTTGTCCATGTGCGGCTGCATACCAATTCCAAAATTCCGATCGAGAACCTACAAGTCGATGTCAGAGCAGCCGGCAGGAAGAAAGCCTTCGAACATGCGCAGGAAAACTAAAAAGAGGAGCCTTTGGACACCACTCCAGCACATTGATCGAGAAGACCAGCAACCATCCGTCGATGAAGAAACACCTCCACGCTTTACCAAAGGATCCACCACTTCCCATCAGAAATCTGTTTCCGGCGTTCCATTCCAAGCTAAGGGCCAGGGGACCAACAAGTCACGCGCTAGATCTATCGAACATCCAGAGACCGAAAAGCCTTCTCATATCTCGCAAAGAACAGCCTCCAATTCTTCTTCACTAGGATACCGCAGTGTTCTGTTCCGGCTCCCCAGAGGTTTCGCGTTGGTCCGCCTGTCTTCAACTACAACATCACAATCCAAAGCGACAAATAGCTGCGACGCTCTTCCAAGTGAGCATGAACGACAAAAGTCGAGCGCAGTGTCCGACTACCCCTGGCGCAGGTCGTCCTGGTACAATTCATCTCCGCCGACTTCTCCGACCGCGCTCGAATTCCCACCTCCGCTTCCGGTCTACGCGTCGCAAATTCCGAGGTCTCAATCGGTGGGTTCCTCACCATATCTGGCTAGCAGAACGTGGGTCGAAGAGACACATGACGAGATACTGCCTGATGAAGAGGGTAATAGGAATAGTAATGGTTTGGTGAAAAGAGCACGGGATGTGCGCGATACCTGGCGAAGGCATCAGCGAGACACTCGGCAAGATAAGCTTAAACGCAGTATCAGAGTAGTTGGGCTTGTGGATCCAACATTAGCGGCTGGCTATGAGAAGTCTTGGGGTAGACGTGATGGAGACGATAGCAGTAATTAAGGATATAATATCAAAGCACACAGTTGAGAATTAAGATCCCACAGATAACTCTGTATTCGCGTACATGTCATTGAATATACCTTCAGAAACGCCTGAGCAAGCATTAAGTGCACGTGGGCGTTTGATCGACTCATAATTCTGGGCTAAGTAGATCATTGTAGACATATGGGGGCTTCAACAACATATAGTTTTGGGCTGGAAAAACCATCGTAGATATATAAGCGCTTTACTGACCTCTAGTTCTAGGCCGAGCAAATCAACGTAGATATATGAGCGCTTCATTGGCCCACAGTTTTGGGCCCATTACATCATAGTAGGCGCCAGACGCCGATGTGGTCGAAGTGCACTTCCTCATTTTGTCAACCTACCTAGGTATCTAGGTATCACCACTGTCTAATCCGAATGTGACGTCCTGAATGTCAAAACACCTAAGATCTAGCTTATAGTACTTATTGTGGCTGCTGTATTGGGAGGGAGAGAATTCACCTTCACCAAGATATTTGTCGTTGCGGAGCGGTGATGACGTTTCCGGCGACATTCACTACTAACGTGACTTCACGCTAGCGGCTTGGCCAAAGCTGGAGCTTCTACCTGATAACGCTTGCCCTCACCTTTTCTCCTCCATCAACATCCCACCTGCGTCTCTCATCAACGCAAATGCGCGCAATTATTGGAGAGCGCGACATCTCACGCAGACCATCACGAACCGACACAGATAGTAAGCCCAGCTCTCACTCTCAAAATCCCCAGCTTCACTGACATCGCCACCAGTTCTGGGCGAGGTATGACACCCCGAAACGTCAAACTGCACGCTACACTAATTATCCGCGACGAGCGGTCTCTTTGTCAGGAGCGTCCGCCCTGCAAGTACGAGCTGGCTTGTACTTGGCCTCTCTAGGGCACTCAGAGTGACACTGTTCGCACGCTGGCCGTGGCAGAACAGCTGTCGAGGTTATACTGCGACTGTCGCAGGTCGACTCGCGGTCACTCACCTCCCGCTTCGTTGTACGCACGAAACACATTTTCGATAGTATCGGGAAGATAGCGCTCTCCGAACTATCATCATACACGTGCGGGCACCTGTATGACGATTCTGGATAGACGACTTCGCGTGCCAGACGCCCCATCTGGTGATATGTAACGCCTATCATTACATGTCATGGATTGGAGGACTCACGCGTCCGGGCGCGTGACCTCTGGGCCACACCGGAGGATGGGTCCCGCTTGCTAGTCTTGTATTCCGGGATTAGTAAGGAGTCATGCCCCCATCTGAACACTGTACAGGTGCGCAGTCAACCTACAGTCCCTGTTCAGGATATCCACTCTCTCGGTGGTATCCTCGCTAAATCGCTCTTGGGTGATTCAGTGACGCGACAACGTCGCGTCATGGGGTACGAGGTAAGGCCTCTATTCCACTTGGATATACAGAAGCAACAGAGCTCGAACCGCATTTCGAGTGTCTTTCTGGTGAGGTACTTCGTATGAACGCTGGATCGTTCGCGGACACTGCCTCAGCCGATGGGAGATCTACTTTTTCATTGAGTCCTGGTCTTGATGGCTAGGATCGAGGAAGGAGTTTTTGGTTCGAGTAGTCTTTAGTCGTACCTGGGTAGGTAGGGTAAATGAAGCGATGACGTACGGACCGTAAGCGCGCCTCATAACGCTTTGACTCCGCTAGGTAACCTCCAGGGCAGCTTATCCTGTGTACTTCTACATCTGGGTAACACATTGTTTTCGTCAACTCTGGACTTGTCTCGCCATGCCTGAAGATCTAGCTCACATGTAAGCCTCAACCCGGTTGCCAGACAAGTATTAGATAGACACTGACTTCGTATATCAGCACTGCGGCCAACGCCCGCGACTCACCCCTACTGCGACTTCCTGCCGAACTTCGCAATCAAGTCTTCGAATACGTATTCGACGAGGTGCGGTTCCACACCGACAATAATACTACGCGAAGCTACCGTTC